AAAAACTCAGTGAGTGCCTGGGAGTCATCCTGTAATTGACCACCATTACCATTAACAGCCTCGAATAATTTCCCTGCAATCATCGAAGGTCTTCCAAACCTTTGACGTAATATGCTCATAGCCTCGTAGTAGCCCTCATTTGGCTTCATAAACTTACAGCAGTGTATAGCTCTTGAAGCATCTCCAGTGCAATATCTCATCAAATACATTAACTTCAATTCATCACTTAATAGAAAACTACTCAACATGATCTCAAACTCCTTCACAAATTGTAAATAATCAGCTGGGTTTCCGTCGAAACACCGTGGTTCAAATTTAGGGAGTTTGATGTTCCTATTATCCCTGAACGGCGAAACAGTAACATCAACCATGTCATGCTTAACATCAGACACATCGTTACAATTAACAGACAAGTCATCATGACTTACTTTCCTGTTTGCATCCAAGACGCTCTGTCCCTTCTTTGACCCAGGCATTGTTGAACTTGACCCAATCCCAGAAACGCTCCAGATATTGCTTGTTCAAAGAGGACTTGACCGGCACCAGGAAAGATGAATGGTGACTATCCAAACTGTCACCGGCTATGTGAATCCCTCAGAAAATGTTTCCGCCCTCAGAATCTGACTTCACTGTCGGAAACTGTCAGCCACGTCTCGTAAACCGTCAATGCCCAGCTCTTTCTACGCTGGGACTCACGCTGTTCCTTGAAGTATCTCGGAAACGCTTAGTAATAACGGGCGCAAAACCAAAACACCGACTGGCTACTCGAGAATTCTTTATTGTAACACCAACATATAGGCAGCTTCAAAATTAAGTTTTAACTAGGGTCTATGAACAAATATTACAATGATAAATCACAATATAACTTCTGACAGTTTTGGCCTGACTTCTTTCTGAACAGCGACCGATGAGACGATGACTGGTGTATTGATGCCCCCGCGAAAATATAGGGAAGTTGTGTTTGAGCAAACAACCATGAATTGATCGTTCAATCTTCAACTATATTGACAGCTCTGCACTGGTACCGCTTGCAAACTCTCCTGTGTATCATTAAGTACCTTTTCAGACAAACACAATGCGTTTTCTAGCCGCATTTCTGTTGGTAGTTTGTCCTCCGTTTGGGCATATCTGGTCAGGTAATTTACAGGGCTTAAGTAACCTGTTTTAAATGTTCTCGAAGGTAGTGCGTGCTGGGTATTTCGTAGTCGCATATTTGTTAACTCGTTTTGTGCGTGCACGCAGGAGGATCGTGGGCTAATCTCTACCCATTGTTCTGATGGAGGTCTACATAATTATGAGGGTTCGGAAATAAATTTCTGTTGATACGGTACCTAGCAGTGTCCCGTCTAGTCATCCGCGTGTTCTTGTTATTCATTTTGGGTCCGCTTTTCAAGTTATATATGTCTATGAACGCGTTACAGTCTTGGCCACTATGACAGTCATGGGTCTAATTCTGCTGTTTAGTCAGTATGAAGCCCCATGGGTGTCTGCTAGCGCGTGGTTTTGTGTGGATAAGGCTCTCACCTCAAATAGTCTGTCTTCCACGCTATGTTTCTTACTCTTAGTTCGAAGAAGAACACTTTTACTCACGTGTTCCGTCTTCTCTATGGGACCTACCGTAGTGTGTACATAGTTCTTATCTATGTGTATCTGCTGTCTGTTGGACCGATTGCAACGGAGGTATATGGACGCCCGTGGAGAGATCTTGCGTTTTGGGGACTTCTTTCCGGTTTTTACTGTGAAACTATCTTGTTTGGCCCTGGGTAGAGTGTTATCTGTTGATACTTAGGGGTTATGGATAGTGAGAACACCCATGTCTACTTCATGTGTGGGGTCAGCAGATTTCTCAGGAGTGCTCTCATGAACTTTGGGACTCATCCCACTGTTATTGCTCCTTTCAGGTTTCACTTCACTTTTATGTGTCATTTGTTTACCTGTTACTGCGTGAGTGTCGCTTTTCGCATCAGTGTCCTCCGATACTTTGGCACTGACGTTATTCATCTTTTGTAGCGCAATCGTGCTTGCATCTGAGGTGTTCTTAGCTTCTTGTCGTTGGTTGGGGGCTCATTTCGAGGCTATTTCTCAGAAACGCTTAGTAATAACGGCCGCAAAACCAAAACACCGACTGGCTACTCGAGAATTCTTTATTGGAACACTAACATACAGGCAGCTTTAAAATTAAGTTTTAACTAGGGTCTATGAACAAATATTACAATAATAAATCACAACATTACTTCTGACAGTTTTGGCCTGACTTCTTTCTGAACAGCGACCGATGAGACGGTGACTGATGGATTGATGACTCCCGCGAAAATTGGGGAAGTTGTGTTTGAGCAAACAACCATGAATTGATCGTTCAACCTTCAACTAGATTGACAGATGCCTTTCAGTTCTCGGTCTAACATTATCCGGTATGTCGTAAACTGTCGAACTCGGTTTTTTACGTCTTGTCTTTTTTACTTCTCATGTGAAGTAATTTGGGACAGTCTACCTTGTTAACCGATTTTATGTGGGACTTGCTAAGGTTTTTATCAGTTAGTTGATTTGTGTTACTTCACAAAGTTTGGATTAAAATTTATACGAGATCCAAGGAGTTCATCAAATTATTTGAACTTCAGCTGTTTCACCACTAACGGTAAATTTGCTTATCTCTATGGGCTGAAGCACATGCTGACAAATGGATTTTCATGGGACAAGAGTGTAGTGGTTGCGTTATGATGTGCCAGTGCACCTCCATATTATCTTCTTATTGTGGTGAGAGCAGTCTAGCCAAAATGGTAGACAGCCTTTTACGTCAATGGGTATGTCGCAAATATTGGTGGTGAGAATATATGAACAAGACCGATTCAACAACCAATCCCGGCATACTTGGCGTATAGATGATCTGACATCCAAAAAACAGTCACAAAGAGGTGCAAAGTCAACTTTTTATAAGAAACAGCCAATCAGAAGATGTGTGTTAGTCTGCTTGAATAAGTTATAATAATGTACATGAAATATAATATATAAATACGTGTTGATTTCCACGGTCTGTTGCCCGACTCTTGTCTTTCGTCGTTACAATATCATCGTTAGTAAGTACACCCATAAGGAGCTGTGTCATTTCCTCCTCCAACAGTCAGGGAGGCGTGAATAACGACCTGGCCACCAGGTTGGGTAGACCAAGTTAAAAAGTTGGCAGGCAGTGTGGCCACACCTCAGGTATAGCAGGACAGACGGTTATATAACAATCATGGATGCTGTTTCCAGTTGAAGCCCACCAAAAGCAATCTCGAAGTCGTTCCACTAGCCTAACTTACTGACCCCTAGAGTGCCCACAACTTACGTTGACAGCTCACTTATACTGTTCACATTTTCCGGAAGTCCTGTACTCATAAACGCATCCCACTGTGTAGACCTCAAAATAAGGCCCTTCTATAGAAGGCTCTAGTCACTCTTTTTCTGGAGTAAGCATCGACTCTGAGCCTAGCGACCGAAGTATAGTGATACGTACTTATGATGTGAGAACGAATGTCATATGGATATCGGGTGCTGCACTAACAGGAGCGAAGGTACCATTAGTAATCAGCATGGGTTTATTCTCATTTCTAGCATCCTTAAACAGTACTGAGGTGGCAGATCAGCTCTGATAGCGTACTGACGAGCTAAGCGAGTCATTACTACTGCTTATAGGTGAAATGTTGCTTGGCGTGGAAAGCAGAGTTGTTTTCCAAGTTATCAGATTAACTAGCGATTGATTTTGTATCCTTTTTCTTCGATTTATCATAATAGTTATCTGTAAGAGATTATGGTTACAAGTATAAAGCTAGGAAAACACTTTTGTGAGGTTTGCAACAAGGATTATATATGACGAATCACGCCAAAACTTAGCCAAAGCTCTGAACTTTCTGCGATATATGTGTATTCACTAGACACAATTATATTGTCCTGGCAGATACGACCCCAGCCTTTAAAAACGTGCAGCATCAGCCTTTGAAACTAAGATGGACGTTCGATGGCCTTAAATACATGGTTTAAAATTCGTAAAACCCAGTTGGCAAAACCGAAGCTATCTTTTAGCGATTTTTCGCCCACTAAGCAGATCCCCATAAGGCTTCCAGGAAGATGTTTATTAGATGAGACGGAAAAGAGTCATCTTCAGTGATGGCGTTCAGCTGGTGAAAGTCAATACATAGTCAGATATGGCCATCTCCTAAGATGATACGTGATGTCCACGGAGAGGAAGAAGGCATCACACCGAATGTCACATCTGGCACTATTACCAGGGTGAAACCCTGGGAGGCAACTCGTGGAGCCAGACAATGCACTACGCAATGATGATGTTTCCTGAACTGTGTCCATTATCAAAATATACTAGTTTAGAGGTTGATGCTACGCTAGAATTCTTGGACAAAGGAAAATAATATTGAATCAATTGACATCCATCACTAAAGAGTGTACCCTGATTCGGTCCAGTATATGCGATGTGGCAGGGCTCAACAATGACTAAGGTCGACTGCGGGATAGAAACGGTATGATCGTGAAATTTACCTCCCTGTGGGGTCTGACAGTATTTATAATGACGTGGTGTCCCATGATGGCATCTCAGGCCAATTATGGACAGAGCGAAAATTGAAATTCCGTGAGAAACCCGTTTATCTCGGGTATGGCTGTGGTATGAGCTTCTGTCTACAACCCAATCACTACAGTCAAAAAGACATAACAAGACCCAAGTACGGGAAGTCTGGAGAGGTAGTCGATGTAAAATGCGTTTATCACTGATAGTGATGCCTCCATGCTAACCAGGACTGCAGTCTTCTGTCCACTGCACTAATAGGAGTAATAGCACACAAACATCGAAGGATATTACGAAAAAAGGGTCCATTTGTCTGAGAGGGTTTGTCGCTCTCAATCACCATGACCTGTTGCTGAGTCATCAGCTGGGCACGTACGGTTCTTTTGGTTGCTGTGATATCTATAGTCTAATCACCAACCATGACCTTGTGGACCACTGCAATCTCATTGGTTTCTAACCTCATTGGCGGGATTTTATCTCAACGTGTAAAATTTTATTTTCTACCCATCCGTGTTCTTATTTGCTTTAATTTTAACTTTCATTCTTAATATGTTTTAAAACTGACTTTAATTCTTTCTTAGAGGATTTATCCACTTACTGATATGATACTACATTGATTACAGTTAATTGTAATTATAGTTACAATTGCATCTAATATCTTAAGACATTTGCCAACTCACTAATTATAGCATGGCTGGTAAAGTCCGTAAGACCATCAAATTACGGACAGTTTTTACCGTATTTTGTGACCGAATCTTGCCAGCCAGTAGTTACTAGTGTTTAGATCAATCAGCTGTGACGCCTTACTCTTTCTGTGACATTTATGTTACTTCGATGTTCGCAACTCCGTAAACTTCTCATTTGTTCATAAAATGTGTTGGAAATAACTCAGGAATAGTTTATTTGTCCGCAAGTTGGTAATGTCCACAGAATTACTGTCCATAGATTGTAAATTTACAATGAATATTGATTTCAATATTCATTTTACAAATTTAATTTGAAACGCATGCCAAGAAGTTCATCTCAAGTCAAACTACGTTTGCTTAATCCTAGTGTAACAGTTGATGTCAGTAGATAATACAAAATCTATCTTGTATCCTAATACAGGTTAGCTGAGGTACTCCTGTATTACCTCTTGATGGCTGTATAGTACACTAAACTGGTTCTAGCAGCCGTGAAAATAGCTAGCTGTTAATTTGAACAAATTTCGAAATGTCTCTAATAATTTCTTTCGCCAAGTACTTTCGACCGTGATTTCAACTTGAGTTACTTGTATTGTATCCCCAAGTGATACATTTACGTAATCCTTTGAAGACTGATACATTGCTGTTTCAGATATGCATTTATGTAGGCCTTTTTGATGGTGAAAGCAAATATGTTCCAAAAAATAATAATAATTTCACTTGTTTCTGCCTAAGATGTGAGCAGAGATCATAAACTTAATTATGCATAACTTATAAATTCACCAAACTTATTAGCAACTCTAGGTTGTGTTCAAATGAAAATCCAGGTCTTTTTCATTGTGCAGAATTCTAAGTAAGGCAGTATTATGAAAATGGACACGATACATGTTGCCATTTCCTAGGAAATAGAGTCTTTGATCCTGTTTTTTCTTCTTCTTACTGTGATGAATTAGATTGGGCTGAACATAATTAATTCCAGTTCAAGTGATTTATTACTGAGTAAGCTGTAAAGGCAAGTCTGACTGTCAATTCGAGATAAGTACATTTAGTAGTGGTATTGTTTGTGTAAAAGTAATTCGTTTTCTTACTGAATAAGCCTACCTGAAGTGTTTTGTCTGAGTCCAACAGGACCATCTGATGGATTATGAAACGTTCATCTCGTTATTCATTTCGCCTGGATACTGGGGGAACGCTGATACAAATAGTTACACCACATTTTGAATAACTTGACATCATAGAAGTGTACGTAGTTGATCTGTGCAATCTGGGTCAACAGTTATGAAGTTCTAAGGTTTTTATTCAGTCGAAATACCTGTAGGCAACTATATGAACTTGTGGATCTTTAGTGGAACGGATGGACTATCAATCGATGAATGAGTCAGAGTTTCGTTCTGTTTACCGAGATATTGTTTAGAACCCTCATACGCTATGTGTTTACTCACCAAATATGAAAACGGCCGATGAGTAACACACGAATCATTAATCTAGTTAGAAATCTTGATCATTGGTGTAACAAAGCATTGTTAACAGTAGATAGCAGGAGAAATTCAAATTAGTAAAAACAACCATCCCGTCGTATCTTGAAATCAAAAGCAATAATTATAGTGTCAGCAAAAAATTATTGTTATATTAAACAGTTGGGGGTAATCATCAAGAAGCCGTAGACCTAGGTTTTGTGCTGGTTGGTATTCGTCAGTAGGGCTTGTCCGCAATCTAACTAACTAGTTCCAACGTAGAACTTCGCACCGGTGTGCAGCATTTCGAGTCTCCACCCTTCACCCAGCACACAAAGCCAGATAACAAAGTAAAACGAAATGCAAAATAGAGATAGCAAACAGAGATATGAGGCAAAAAGAATAGTAATATCGAAGAACAATATAGTTTTATTGGAAATTATAAGTCAGAAGGAATGGATACATCTGCGCCATTAAGAACGATTTTGAGCCATATCACCAATTGTCGCCAGCCATTGGTATTTACTGTTCCAAGGACCCCAACCAGAAAGTCTACACCTACCTACGTGACTGGCTTAAACTAACTGTTATGGATTTCACTGATTGATGCTACGTTTTGGTTTAACCGCTAATGGCTCTTTTCCAACCTGACCGTATATCAGCTAACACTGCCTGTTGGTCGAGGAAGGCGATGGCTAGGCATGTGTAACACATGTCCTAACCATCTCAACCGGTGTTACTTCACAGCCTCGTCTATTGATTTCTCCTCCTTACCTAGCTCTTGACCGATGCTTAAACTCAATATTGCTCACCCTGTTACACCACCTAACACAGGAGATAGAACGCAGGCACCTATGATCAAAGACAGCTAACCAGGCGTTTCATGTCTTCCACTCTCAATGGCCAGGTCTCACAGCCATAAAGGAGGACCGAGCGAACTGCTGGGCAGTACACACGCCCTTTGGTCGACAACCGGTAGGATATTACGTCTACGCCAAAGACGGCGTAAACTAGTATATGCGAAACTAGCCTTCTGTATGCGTGCAAAGATTTCGTCAGCGATCAACCCACTGGCGTTGGTTGATGCAACTTCCCAAATAAGTGAAGTGGCCAACACGCTCTACCACATCACTCACTATTTCGAAGCTAGAAGTCAATGTAGTCCAGTCCTGTAGCCTCATCTTACATTTGGCGAGAGTGAGACGCATGCCAAACGTTCGCAGATTGCAGCTCAAGGTGTCCGCAATCTGTGTTTACGTCCCTGACTGCAGCACTCGGTGTACCTGGCTCGGATCTCATAATGGACAAGAGTTCTTTCAAGACTGCAGATACGCCTTGTTAACGAGTGCCAAAAAGCACAAAACATAGGTCCAAGGCTTCCTACCGATTACCTTCACTCTTATAACAGCAATTTAAAGTGTAAGGCGATGGTGAGCCACCTGCGATGATGACCAAATCGCTAACTCTACCGGTAGGATCCAGTCTATACCAAACGAAAGACTAGACACATTACATTAGTTACTACCTAGTGTCTAACCAAAATAATTATTGTATGTATAAATGAATGTGAACAGAAGATTGTGATATATGCTATAGTGTGTTCTTTATCACAGAAATTTTTCCTTTCTTAAAAGCTGTCCAGAAGATAAAACTCATTGTGACACTGCTTTACTGTTTGATTCTAGATGACTGTTAATTTTCTACTCCGCATTGAAGTTAGCAGTTTCGTCTAAACGCAAATGTCTGATGATATATGGGAGGAAAGTGTTGTTAAAGGATTTCATTTTGACTTGGAGGAATCCGATAACATTTCAAGTAAACTAATATAAAATATATTATTCATTGTACTATATCCATCTATTTTTAGCTTATAGTCAAAGTCTCGCAGAATGTTTCACTGAGACATTTTCCGATGAACCAGTAGTAACAGGTATCCAGTTTATTATTATTGTTGTTTTTTTATGTCCCACTTTCTTTCATGTAGACCTCAATAGTCAGTTTTGTGCAATATGCCATAATTTGATCACTAACCAAATTTATTATGAAAAGGATGCCATCTTTTGTTGTGAGGTAGTAACATCTAAATAGCTCTCACTATTCTAGGCATGTTGGCTGAAAGCTATTACAATTGCTCTTGATGATTTTGTTGTTGAGGGAATGAGTACATGGCCGTTGAGTACATTTGTTTCACAAGCATCTAAAGTTGTTCTTCTTAATTTGGCCACACGTTCATTTGATGGTAATTTAATCATAAAGGTAAGTGTCATTTTCATGCTCAGATAGATTTATTACATACACAACTGTTGTCTTTCTTTCAGCTTATTAATAAATTTAGAAATTCGTTTTCTGAAAGTGTCTTTCAACATATTTTATTAAAAAATCATGTGGTTGCCTTACATTTTATTAATTTTCTTAGAAAAACTGGACAGTTAGCAGATTTAAAAAAATATATGAAGTAAGTTCGCTGATGTTTTCATTAATTTCTCTTCTATTTTAACAGACTTCTTGGATTTATTAGAGAAAGTGAAGTAATCAGCTTGTCGAGTGTATATATATATACATACTGCTTATTTCTATAGATACCAAGCTACAATCAACTGATGCAAAAATTAATGAATATGTCAACAGGTCATGTTGATGAAGTGAATAAATATTTAATGCAGATTGCAGAGTAACATAAAATTCTTTTATTTGACCTCGAATTTTTTTTTATAGATCTGATGTAGCTTCACATTCATCAATGAAGCATCTTGTTGAAATCTCTTCAGAACTGGCTGTGATCTTAGATTATCAAAACAGCTATGTACTTGTTCATTCACATTTAACTTTACATTATTTTTTCATTTTAGGAAAAAGAATGGAATTCAACTTACAATGAACTTTCTTTAGATGCAAATGTTCGAAAAGTGACTGTGACACTACCTAACACTTTAATCATGCAACCATTATGTGAAACTCTTAGTGCATTGGTTAGAATGGATCAGACGATTAAAGCAAATAATAGTAGAGCTGAAATTCTTGGGAAAAAGTGTAAAGTATGTGTTTTGTGATTATTAAATAGTTTAGCTATATTGAGGCAATAGATATTTTTGTATTTTCAAGTATTGGTTTTGTAGGGATTGTGTTTCATTGGTTGGAAGGTTTGTAGTAGATTTTCACGATTTCGAAACTGTATGGTATCAATAATGCCGAAAATAGTTATGGCTGTGATAGATATTTTGATTATTTGGAAAATGTCACAAGATTAAGCAGCATGTGCTGCTCGGCTGCAATTATGCTTACATAAATTAGAGGCTATCTTAAGCACTGAATATGAGCACATCCGTAGTCTGATTAAGTAGACAGTCATTATTATTATTTATTCTTATTTCTTCCCCACGTCGTGGATGAAACATAGGGCTTCAGCAGCACATCTGCGTTCCAGTCAGGTATCTACTACCATTTTTAGTTGACTCAACGACTGACTACAATGTTTAATTCCCTTCTCCCTGTGTTACTCACGGACACCCAATCCATCGCTTACCATAAAGGTTCGAATGTGAAGGGCTCAGTGGTCTCCTGAAGGTAAGTCCAATCCGCCTCCATTCCATTTGTAATAGGCTGTTTGTTGGTTCGTTGCCATAGTTACTTGTTGCTTATTCTTTCTGGTTAGCCATGTGATCTTCAATATCGGACGAAGAAATCCATTGGTGAAAGTCTGCAGTAACTTTTTGGAAATGCGTTTTGGTAACTTGTGTGCCTATTCTCTGTACCATACAGCAGCACTGACTTGACATCAGTGTAGATAACTTTGGAATGTATGGAAGCCTCAAAAGTTATCTATGCTGATAATAGATTTATTCAAAAATCATATTTCCCTATAAAATCAAGTGTGCTTTCGTAAATTATTCGTATACTTGTTCTTTTTCAAACTGATGTCAGCTCATGATTAAATCCTCCATACAACTTTTCAAATAAATCAAGAAATGTCTAAAATTCTGCTTGTCATTCATTGGAAAAGGTATTTACACAGTCATGAGGGAATTTTCATTGTTTCTTACTGCAGTAACTTCCCCAGAGCTTAATTTTGTACATTATCCGGTTACCAGTTGGTGACAACAATCAGCATTAATTGCTTGTTAAAAAAAGTGAATGAAAGTGTACTTCATAAGCCAAATAATTATAATGGTACAATTATTGTCTTATTCTTTTTACGGTTGTATAATGAAATCAACGTGTGTTATAAGTACCTATAAACGGAGTTTTTTCTGCATCAAACTGTACACATCCTGTGAATATATGTAGCACTCCTACTAGTTAGTTTTATTGTTTCTTCAATAGTGTCAACAGACGCCATGTTATGCAACATCCAAGTACGGTTATCTTCTTTGAAGTAACTCAGTAAAAAAAACTATTAAGATATTCAGTTTATTGATATTTGACTGACTTAAAAGTAAATTTCATCATAAACAAAAACTACGTAGAGAATCAGTAGGATCCAGGGAACACTGGTCATCAGTGCGATCTTTAAAACTACAACTTCTTCAGGAGTCGTTAAGTTATGAGACGAACACATTATTTAACCACTAGGTAAAAATTCAATTCCAACTTCTTTTTAGAGCTGCTTAGCTTTTAATAATTTTCCACTTGTAGTTAGTTAACTCAACAAAATCTACATAAAGCAAACGAATCAGTTTGGAGAATTTTAAAAACGCTTTTCAGTATAAAATGACATCGACTAAGGAGAACCTTAAAAAGTTGAACAGCGCTAGACAGAATTCACGAGCAATTATTAAACAGCTACTAAGTTTTGTATCTTTTTTTCTAGTTGCTATGATTCTTTGGTAGGTATTTTGAAAATAAACAAGTTAATTGGTATGCAGAATAGGAAAATACCGTACTGTTTTTTATATCAGTAAACATTATTCGGAAGTCTTGAAATTTAAAGTTTAAGTGAAATAGGATGTTGTTGTTGTTTACTAATTTGAAGATGTTTTATTGTATTGCTGTTTACTTTTCTAAAATATCGTCACCCTACAGCAACAATTACTTTTTATTCAAGTGTTGGTTTGTAAGAATTTGATTGGTTTACAGGATTTCATCATGAGCTGACATCAGTTAGAGAACCATTGGAAAACCAGTCAGGGAGTACTGGACAGTTGTTTCATCCTAGTTTGGGACTCTTCATCAGTACGCACCCACCACTACGACTCGAACCCACGACCTTCTGGTTACAAGGCGAGCTCGTATACCATTAAGCCACTGGCACCCGATCCAACGGCCCATGAATTCTAACTTCTGCCAATTCACGACCCCTAGCCAATGTCTTTTAGTTACAGCTTATAATTTCTAAAATACCGTAGGCATTTATCATAGATTATAGGTTTCTACTTTACTGCCTGATCTTGTAAGAATAATTAGACTGTATGCAGAAGTAACCTTGGTAATATTTCCTTACAATACTTGTTTCAGATGTCAGATGAACAGTTTAAATGGCTAGTGATTGAGCCACTAATGCAGTCACAAAACTGGAATGATTTGCAATGTATTTTATTAAAAAAGGTAAAATAAGTTTCTATATATACGTGTGTTACTATCAAGAAATCATTGTCGCGTCGTATGGAAGTTACCCTTCCAAGTGATCGCTTAGTTCTTCACCTATATGCATTAAGTGCACCAAACAACGTAAGTCACCCCGCGGGTAATCTTTTCATGCATGCTTAAAGTTTCAAGTTTCTGTCTTAGATAAAATGATTGACCTCCACCTTTACAACACCTAGAAATAAAGTCTTCAAGGAAGTACAGTATGAAGTTTTCGTAGTCAGTCGTGTCAATTATTCTAGTGGATTCATCTTTGCATTGATTTTAAGTTGTCTATTTCACAGTATATAATGTGTTAATTAGGGTTAGTGTTCTAGCGTATGGAGACCATGTGTTGGTGATTCTCCTTCTGCTCTAGGTTCCATGTAACTAAAATTATTATTTCTGTGGCGAGACACTTAATACTTATACTGAATATGTGGTGTGTTGTATGCACTCATTCATCATATTTGAACCATAAATGGGGTAGAAGAAGCTAAAGTGTACTTAAACAGAGATATGATAGGAACCCATAATCTTGTCCGTCTGCCTGTAATCATATTTACTCCCAGATTAAGTGGAGAAATGTCTATAAAACTATTTCAGCTGTTTTGAAGAATGTATATAATGCTCTTCATTTTAACGCAAATTAGACCGTTGTATATATATATTCGTTATTGACAATATTGGTGTCTTTTAAATAATATTTAATTGTTGAGATCGATAGAATTACAGTTCACAAGTGACATTGAGCATATCAGTGTAATACCAAGTTGAATATTACATAAGACTAAGGAGAAAACTTATGTGACAGTTATTGATAGTTAAAAGGATTGGTGGCCAAAGTCCGGGAAGCATCTGAACGAACTTCTGAGGTGGATTCTGGCGCCTTCATATATATGTAAAAGACGAAATCGTTAGGGAAAATTGAAATTAGTCCGAATACGGTAGATAAATTTAGAAACCCCGTTATCATCAACTCCACGTTCATTCAGTATCTACAAGATAAGCTAAAACTGAGCTGCGGATAGATCTTGTCTGTCCTTTGCTTAACAATGCAAGATGGTGTTTAGTAATCCGATAATGAACATGTATAGTCGTACACAGTATGTAACTAGCTCCATAGGAGCAGTCAAACTTATGGAAACTATTATCCTTATATTCATATTACAAAGGTATTAGGGGAAACTGCTGCTCAGACAGTTTACTGCCATCGACATGTGAAAATGTTAAGTCAGTGTTCACATCCATCATCTTTATCCTGTTGATTCTCAGTGTAAAAACATTAACCAAACTGTCACCTTAACAGCAGTTTAACACGTCCAAATAAATACTGTCTTAATCACACTGATTTCGTATAAATTCAATCATTCGCGTACAAGAAGTAAAATTTCTATAGCCTTTCAGAATAACTAATTCTGACATTGCACCAAAAGACTTATTGATATAGACAAGTACTAATTGCGGTGATGTACTGTTTCGACAACGCTAGGTGTAAAAAGCTTCATGTGCACCATAAGCACAAGACAAAGTAATGCATCTGCTCATTTTCATAAGTGGTTTAACTGAAAATCTTGATTACAGCATCTAGTTATCATTACTTCCTATAGTTGGTTTGTAAGGGTTAGTTTTATTTTTACGAGTTGATGATGGATTGATATCTGTTAGATAACCACTAAAAACCAGGGAGTACTGGACAGCTGTTTCATCAAAGTTTGGGAATCATCCACAGCACACACCTACTGGGGTTTGAACCCCAGGACCTTCCAGTTACAAGGCAAGCTTGTATACCATTCAGCCACTGCGACCCGATTCAATAGCTGACGAATTCCAACTTCTACCAATTCGTGATCTAGCGCGAACCCAACCAGTGTCGTCGGTGGGTCATCCATCCTCACACCTGACTTCATTATTTCTACAAAAAACTGGTAATTTGGATCATCAAGTCCAAGTACCTCTTGTTTTGAACCACTTCCTGTCTACAAATCACTAAAGGATTTCACAGACTGCTTATGATAACATTGTAATATGTGGGTTTTCGACAATATAATCATTAATACATGATTGTTTTGCGTTTCTCAGGTCCTATTTTTGATAAATTATTCTTTCAGATTATTGAAAATTACTTGAAATTTATCAGTGATAATGAAGAATTTATTCAGATTGCTATCCGTTTGAAAATGATCGATGAAGCATTAAAGGTAAGAGAGCCTATTTTTATTCCATTCTGTAATTGTAAACTCCTAGTGTTTACAGTATTTCTAATGTCTAATTATAACAAACTAGTCGTTGAATCGTGACCAGTGTAACATGTAGCATATTAGTAACAGTTTGGTATTCGATGTTGGGAGTTAAACGCTACTGTATGCTTATAGATACTAAGTTTAATGCTATAGTAGGTTGTCTAAGTACTACTAATTGTTATTAGCCGTGATATCTGATAGCAAGATAGTAAGAAAACTATGGTTTAATAACACTAAACAGTTATAACGGGACTAATGATTCTCATAACCCATTGATTGTAATGCAATTGTTTACACAAAGCATCTGCAACTATATGAACACGAAATTAAGTAAAATATTGGCCATATATCGGTAGGCAGCATAGAACTTATGTAGTCTACTGAAGTTGGGTAGATATAAAATAAGTAGCTAATATCTAGTAATTTAAAAGCTAGAACCAATTCTTTCAGTAATGAGATTTAGCAGGGTTTGTTCCGTGATGGCTATTATACGATAGAAGATACCTGTAAACTGATATAAGAATAAAACCTGGGCAGTGTGGTAGAGCATAATTCCATTATGGATAAGATTTTATTTGATAAATCACACAGGGTTGTACAGTAATAACTGATACTAACTGTTAATATTAACTTTTGTACAGTAATATTACTGTACAGCACTGTGATTTATCAAATAAAATCTTATCCATAATGGAGATACCTGTAAACCTTCGGATTCTATCTTAATAACATATCGCTGATAAAGTATCTTTCTAAGATGAAAGAAATCCATGACTACTTTGTTGAAAACATATCTTGACAACAGATGATTTGCTATCATCAATCCAATTGAGGAGTTAATCGTGTGATAAATAAGTATTAAGCGTAGGCCACATGGCTGCCTTTTTTGAGTTTATCAAAGTATTATTTTTTTCAGCTTTGCTTAGAAAGACGAAATGTGAACGCCTTGAAAGACCTCCTATCTCAAATCCCTAGCAATCACCGAAGGAAGGAAGAAATGTCTCACTACCTATCGATTCCTGTAAGACATTTCAAATGCGTTATTAATTATTCTTTTATGTTTACAACAACAGCTATGGATGGGTATAATTCCTTCGTTAATCTCTAAAAAATTTTGTCTCTTTTAATAAGGAACATAAGCTTAATGAATAATAGATAGTAATAAGCGTCTCTGCGTTATCAGGAATGTCAACGAACTGGTAGTGAGGAAGAAATATGTGCATATCATTGAGCTCACTTCGCAGAAAAAAAATTTGCTCAGTAATCACATAACTGCAAGTACCATTAAATCTAACACTGGATTCACTACTTTACATCGCTATTCAATTATAGAATTATGCAGTCACAACTTAATACACGGTGAGATTTCCCATAACAATATGACCCGTAGAATTAAAACCTTCCAGAAAAAATTAGTTGCCTTTTGGCGACTAAACTCTGAATGAACTTTATTTATATGAGGACGAATAATTTCATGGCTGGATAGTTTCTGCTTGTTTATCAGCATTTTTGGGATTACACCTGTAAAACACAAAATATAACATAAATAGGTGGCCAGTGCTCATAAATTGAGACTGAGTACTGGATGAAATCAAGGCTTGACTCATTTTTCGTTACTAAATCTTACATATCACCAACTGTAAAATGACTCTTTTAACCTATGATTCTAAGCACTACATAATCGTGCTGAGTGTAAATTGTAAATGCGCATGATAAGCAGGTTTCTTCCATCAGTGGACTTTTGAATCCATATCCAGTGTAGATTAATTAAGCCCACTGCATTAGGTTGTGTCACCTATCTATCAGTCCAAGCATGTGTCGAAGTGTTAAGAGTATATTAATGTAAGTAAGATATCTCCACACTTTATTAAATAGTGGTTAACTTTTTCTGAGTTACGTAACGGAATTATACAATACAAAAACTAAATATTTTAGATGAAATATATATATATATATACGCATATAAATAACACTAAAATACACATTTTTATGTTTCAGGTTGCTCAGTGGAAAGACTTCTTGTGTAAATAAATGTTATTTTTTTATTTAACACTTTTGATAAATATTGATGGATTGGGTTTTGTATCTCGACTTTTGTACGAACAAGGATACCGCCTAGCCGTTAAGTGGTACAGCATGCCCATCAAGGTAGATAATCCTCGTGATTCACGTGATTCAACCCGGTCAGAATTTCTTTGTGACCGTAATATTATCGTTGCGATTCCAAGAACAAGACAGACAGCAGTCTTAAGCGCGAGATTCACCACAGTATTCTCCGTCTTCGAAGAAAACAACCTGTAGAGTTGTAAACATGCAAACACATCTCAGAAAACTTTACTACATGAAATTAAATATTTTTTCTAAAACTAGTACAGCAAAGAACTTCTTCAATTCCTGTAAGGTGTTTATAGGAAGACTTTATGCAGGAACTAATACTACTTACCTTCCTCATGCCGGGTCAGAAAATCTTTTCAGGGACCACATTTAGAAGGAAATATGCCATTTTAAGTGGAATCCATATTGTTTTACCTTTGTCTATTAAAGTTACTGAAATAAATCAATACCACTTCATGAATGATATTTAAGAAAAATTTATTACTCCGTGACAAAACTTGTTCATACTTGCCAGAACAATTAACGTCTGTATGCAAAATTCTTGTAGATCGAAACGACAAATAAATGTACTTATCATAAGTAGATGGATGTACTTCGAGCCCGTGATTCAGCCCTGTCTGTCTGTTTTCGACATAGAACTTTGCACAAATGTGCGGCAGTTCAAGTCGCCACACTCCCTCCTTGTAGCACACAAAGCAAGAGAAGAAAGTACATGAAAAGCATAATAGAGACAGTAAGCAGAGGTGTGAGACAAAGGAAGAGTAATAACGAAGAACAAAACAATTTCATTGGAAATCATAAGTCACAAGGAGTGGATGCATCTGCGCCACTGAGAACGATTTTGAGCCATGTCACCAATTGTTTCCAACCACTGATGTTTACCGTCCCGAGGACCCCAACCAGGAAGTCTACACCTTCCTACGTGGCTTAGACTAACTGCTGTAGATTTCATTGACTGGTGCCAAGTTTTTGTTTGACCGTCCATGAATCAGCTTTATTAATATTGTTTTAAAATCAAAGAAGAAAATAACTGGATACATCGTTAATTGGCGCAACAATACCAACCAGGATAGCCATGTTTAACAGATCTTATAACAGGAAAGTATTAGGTGGAAGATTAAACGAGTCTTTCATGGGTCTCAAATCGACTTGCTTAATGTAACATACTCCAAACAAATAGCTACGTTAAGTGAGAATAAATGATTATAAACAGCTAAATACAATAATGCATTTGTTCTTTGTAGCTGCTGTCGGAATTTTTCAATCACAAATATTGCTGAAGTATGTATGGGAGAACAGAGCTGAACTAGACGAAATAATGCAATGCTTTAAACCATTTTAAAAACCTATTAGTGAGATTGCACACTGGGCGTTGGCACTCGTCGTCACTCTGATTGTTGTGTTGCGCTTACTTAAATAGCCAAAATAATTAGGGTTTTAGTAAGTTAGTTGGGAAATGATTGTGTGTCTAACTAGAACTGAATGGAGACCTCAGTATCGATTTCTCCAACATTATGGAGTCGATGAACCGGAGGGAAATCATCGAAAGACCCTGAAGCAGAAGTAAAATCAATTTATTCCGTATTGGTTTATTAGATGTATCACACGGTGAAACAGTATTATTTACTGGATGATGTTTCCAACAAAATTTTTTGTTCATAATCATATCAATTATAATCCCGCGGCTTTGAAACTTGAGTTTTATAGTTTCCTTTAACTGTAAAATAATGCTGTTTCACTGTGTGATACATCTAATAAACAAACCAATATGGAATTACTTACTACCACAGTGCCCAAGTTTTACACATATAATAATAAAATCAATTTAGCAAACCAATGATTCTAACATGATACATTTAGCAGGTCGAATTTATTTACAATATAAGCAGTAGCGAGTTATTTGATGCAAGTTTATGGAGGAAAATTTGGTTATCATATTAGTACCTGGCCTGCTAATTCTGTTGCTGAAGATAAAAAATTCTAAGTTATAGGGCATTTAGTTGCTTAAATACAAATCAGGCGACTCAGTAAGATCCCGACCAATTCAAAAATGCACAATGACAGCATTGTTATCTGGATTAACTTACGCAAACAATATGCTCTTCATTGGAGTTGGAATAATGACTAATAATCCCAAGTACGTGCTCCAAGTCGGTCCCGAACGACGCGATAGTAACCAGACAGTGTAAAATACGACAAATGTATCAACCTTATAATTATGAGCTACGTAAAACAACCTACCAGATCTAAGTTTGCTTCATAACTGAGACATAAATAACTCCAATCAAACTCTAGCCCGCGAGTTCCGACCCAGATTGGAATATACCTGAAACAGTAAAGTCACATTTTATAACTTACTTCGTTGCCACTAGTGAGGAGACAGACCAACCTAAACTGGATGCAATGACATTGAATTCATTTCTACAAAATGTTCCCCGTACTATCAGGCTGATAACGAATATTTCCAGCAGCGAACCGAAAAGATCCTAATACGTTCATTATTATTAACAGGTACATACAAAAGTTGTGGAGTCAATAACTGTAGACAGGTAGTGATAGGGAGTTAAACTGACTAGGAAAAACTTCAGCATTTGTGTAAGTGCGTAAAGACAAGCAATTTTGCAACAGCGCCAGAAAGCATCGTTTTCCCGCCTATGTCATATTACAAAGACCACTTTACAACTTACATTCCAGTCGATTTATACACTAATAAATGTGGTCCAGTAGCCAAAGCCAGGCAGTTGGCAAGATGGAAAAGTCCCATGACTCAAGTTCTGGTCTTCAGCTAATTGAGCATTTGATTAATAGTAAGTTTCTAAATGAACTGATTTAGCTTACATTTAGGTGGAAAAGAAACGAAATATTGTGATTTGCAACGTCGAATGCTCAGGGAATAGCACAACACAGCCAGTCGCAGTAAGGCGAGTATGTCGTAACGCAATTGTTTGCTTATCCCTCACGTCCAATATATCTTCCACTAGCCAACACGTACAAGATTAAATACTCAGGGTTAGCTTCTAGGTTTCGAAAGCTTAGGTGGGCCCCAAATAGAATGGCCTCAGAGGGATTTATAGCTCTTCACTGTTAGTTCTAGTCATGTAGTTTTCAATTATATCCTAAACTATAAAATTTGCAAAGTATAAGTAGCTGTAAAAACCGAACATGAGATCTACTAACTAGGAATATTTTCGCCCGAAAATCAGAAGGAAAAGTTTTGATGCCTGTTATGCGGCATCCATAACAATCTGCTATAAAACAGTCAGCAGGTGTTTAGCCGTTAAGGAAAAAAGAAATACGGCATGATTAACTAAGTAGGTACTATAACTTCATTCTGTGATATGTAAAGTTTCTTGCTCTACTGAGGATAACTGATTGGTGCTGACTATGCTTTCCTCTCACTTTCCCACTCGTGACCATAATGAATACACGTTCAGCGACAATCTTCTTATGTGAGCTCTCGGTCAGTGGATTTAGGTTGATTTTAGTAGGAGAGTTGGTTGCTTAAGTTATTAGTTACTGATTAAGTTGGAAGAGACTTAGTGGAACCTGAATTGATTTCCTATACATGATCCACTCCGCTAACCCCTGTAATAGAGGTGGAAGTAATCCTGTCAAAAAAGGAGGAGATTTCTAACTTAATCTGCATCATAAACAACATGCATCAACAGATAAATAAACGCAGGACAAAACTAAGTCTACTTGACATGGTATCAGAAACTATCTCGCATCTTAAAAAAGAACTCGGGGACCTCCCTCTTCTAAACCTCTTTAATTCGAGGACTGAACCAACTAATGCTGAATCGGAAAGTACTAAAGAATTAGAGAATGCTATTGACATTTCGTCGAGCGAAGTTGTTAAAAAGACTGGTTTCTGAACAGAACGCTATAGTGTACAATATACCAGACAATGAGCCCATAAAGTTGGTTCTACACTCCTTGTTAAGGGCTGCAAACCTCTTAAGTATACTCTGACAGTCTCTTCGGCTAAACAAAAAAGACCCAAACCATAGGTGTCTAACAAGTTTCAGATTTGACAGTTATACAATAGCTGGAGAATTTAGGAAGTCTGGGGGATATTTAGGCCTCTTTCACAAAATTCAAGAACATTGAAATAGCCTCGAAATGAGCCCCCAACCAACGACACGAAGCTAAGAACACCTCAGATACAAGCACGATTGCGCCACAAAAGATGAATAACGTCAGTGCCAAAGTATCGAAGGTCACTGATGCGAAAAGCGACACTCACGCAGTAACAGGTAAACAAATGACACATAAAAGTGAAGTGAAACCTGAAAGGGCAGTAACAGTGGAATGAGTCCCAAAGTTCATGAGAGCACTCCTGAGAAATCTGCTGACCCCACACATGAAGTAGACATGGGTGTTCTCACTATCCATAACCTCTAAGTATCAACAGATGACACTCTACCCAGGGCCAAGCAAGATAGTTTCACAGTAAAAACCGGAAAGAAGTCCCCAAAACGCAAGATCTCTCCACAGGCGTCCATATACCTCCCTTGCAATCGGTCCAACAGACAGCAGATACACAAAGATAAGAACTATTACGCACTACGGTAGGTCCCATAGAGAAGACGGAACACGTGAGTAAAATGTTCTTCTTCGAACTAAGAGTAAGAAACATAGTGTGAAAGACAGACTATTTGAGGTGAGAGCCTTATCCACACAAAACCACGCGCTAGCAGACACCCATGGGGCTTCATACTGACTAAACAGCAGAATTAGACCCATGACTGTCATAGTGGCCAAGACTGTAACGCGTTCATAGACATATATAACTTGAAAAGCGGACCCAAAATGAATAACAAGAACACGCGGTGACTAGACGGGACACTGCTAGGTACCGTATCAACAGAAATTTATTTCCGAATCCTCATAATTATGTAGACCCCCATCAGAACAGTGGGTAGAGAGTAGCCCACGATTCTCCTGCGTGCACGCACAAAACGAGTTAACAAATGTGCGACTACGAAATACCCAGCACGCACTACCTTCGAGACAATCTAAAACAGGTTACTTAAGCCCTGTAAATTACCTGATCAGATATGCCCAAACGGGGACAAACTACCAACAGAAATGCGGCTAGAAAACGCATTGTGTTTGTCTGAAAAGGTACTTAATGATACACAGGAGAGTTTGCAAGCGGTACCAGTGCAGAGTTCTCAATATAGTTGAAGATTGAACGATCAATTCATGGTTGTTTGCTCAAACACAACTTCCCTATATTTTCGCGGGGCATCGATACACCAGTCATCGTCTCATCGGTCGCTGTTCAGAAAGAAGTCAGGCCAAAACTGTCAGAAGTAATATTGTGATTTATCATTGTAATATTTGTTCATAGACCTTAGTTAAAACTTAATTTTAAAGCTGCCTATATGTTGGTGTTACAATAAAGAATTCTCGAGTAGCCAACCGGTGTTTTGGTTTTGCGTCCGTTATTACTAGGCGTTTCTGAGAAACTTCAAGGAACAGCGTGAGTCCCAGGGTAGCAAGAGCTGGGCATTGACGGTTTACGAGACTTGACTGACACGAGTCCTATGTAAGAGCTTCATAAATCGTAGGCCAATTACTGAATGAGCTTAGATGCTACACCTGTTTTATGCTTTGCCTGTACTCATGATTTTAGATGAAAAGGCAGCAGTCGTAACAAAAGCACTCACACAAATAAGTCGTTCGTATAATATCTACCTGGTACAATAAGGGAAACAAAACAGATGTACAAATGAAATATGAGAAAACAGGATTGAAAGTCACCACACTATCACATGGAAAGATGTGAGTTTTTCGGACAATATTTGTAATTAACCTATCTGGAAAGAATATGGTGATATTTTATCTGATCATTCAAGCCACTTCTCTCTGAAGTGTCTTTTTTATATATCAAGATAATCCTTTTATCTAATTACTACCATACCGTATGTCAGTCACGTCTCGTAAACCGTTAATGCCCAGCTCTTGATACGCTCGGGCTTACGCTGTCGCTTGAAGTTTCTCAGAAACGCTTAGTAATAACGGACGAAAAAACCAAAACACCAATTGTTGACTTGAGGATTCTGTATTGTTACACCAACATATAAATCAAGTATGACTAAGGTCTGTGAACAAATATTACAATAGTAAATCATAATATTACTTCTGACGATGTTTTACTCTTCTTTCTGAACAGCGACCGATGAGACGATGACTGTCGTATTGATGCCTCCGCGAAAATTGGGGAAGTTGATTTTGAGCAAACAACCAAGAATTGATCGTTCAATCTTCAACTACATTGACACTCCCCGGCAAAATACGGATCCATCCCTTTTTTCCTTCACGACCAATGCACGTTGACTTGGATGCCATTGCGAGAACCTCGGTCACACGGACAGAGCTGAAATGGAAAACAAACAGAAAAGCCAACACACCACAAGCATACCCACAGCACAATCTCACACATCGATGACGACCTGCGCCTTCCAGACAGAGACCTCCTCTTGACATCTTGCAACACAATCGCCACTTGCTAGAATGACTCTTGCAGAATGCAACGTGACCATAGCAGCACCTCATGATACTCTTCACACATCCCCTTATCTACTCACTACCAATTACCACTGCAATCGCTTGTCACTCATTCTGCCTCAGTTCTATTAACGGTGACGTATGCAAGCCTCAGTCGTCTACACCTTCGCTCCCCGGCGTGTGGGACCACAGCTAACAATTATCTCCGTGTTCATGTTATTCTCAGCACTAGCCTCCCCGGCGTATGCGCCCCATCTGCTGTCCTTAACATCAATCAATTCATTCATGGATGTAGAAGAGTGGACACAACTTCAGAAGTAATCACGACGAAAATTTTAACAAAATTATGCAATAACAACAAGGTACGAAAACAACGAGTAAACACAATGAATCCAAAAACACCAATTGATATGACACACCACACATATACACAAACAGTACACACAAACTCGCGATCATGTCTTGATGGAATTCCTTTGAAGAATCGCAGGACTTACACCAGTACGCCTACAAACCTTCACAGGTTGACGATTGTAAGTTGTGGAATGTCCGGACACAAACAAGATTAACCAACAATTACAATAATTGGAACTCACACAATTATTTAACACAAACATATGTACAATCACTACATCAAATGTTGTGGATTCTGCACGAAAAACTACCCTTGAAAAACTGTAGGACTTACAGCAGTACCCCTACATTCCTTCTCAGGTTGATGATCCAAGGGGAAGTCGTCCGGACAAAAAAAATTACCAACAGCTAGATGACAGATGATATCAATTCAGTATATACAATATGAACATATGTACAAAATCACACACCAAGCACATTGGACTGCTCATTGATGCGCTACCCTTTGAAGAATTGTAGGACTTACAGCAGTACGCCTACAACCCTTCTCAGGTTGACGCTCTAGGTTGGAAAATCGTCTAGTGTTTCATCCTCCGACTCTCTACTCTCAGCACCTTCCAGTAGACACAGTTTTCTAATATCTCGCACCAACATGCCACAACTTGTTCTCACCTCAACCGTCCTCACCAATCCATCACCACTACAGATTAGCCTTACTACCACTCCCAAAGGCCACCTACCTGTGGCACATTTATCTGCTACTAATACTATGTCACCAACCTTTAAGTTTCGGCACAACTTTTTCCACTTGTCCCTGGTTTGCAGTGTTAGAACATACTCCTTTAACCATCTTTTCCAAAATATATCTTTCATGTGCCTGGCTTGTTTCCATCTTTTAATCGTAGGTATTCCTTCCCCGCTTGAGTCCTCTATGCCAGGGTTGCCTCTCAATAACAATAATTTATTTGGGGTTAACACATCAAAATCCTTGACGTCGTCCCTCACAGGTGATAACGGCCGGTCATTTAATATTCGTTCAGCTTCACAAAAAAATGTCTCCAGCGTTTCGTCATTCAAACTCTGGTTTTTAATTATGGAGCTTAAAATACGCTTGATAATTCCTATAAGTCTTTCCCATAGCCCACCTCTATGGCTGGCATGTGGTGGGTTGAAGTGCCACTCGATGTTCCTTTTCAGTAACTCTTCCTGAACTCTCGTTTGGGACCTTCGAAGTACTCTTTAAGCTCGGCGTGACAGCCAACAAAATTAGTCCCTCTGTCGCTGAACATCATCTTCGGTACACCCCGGCGATTTATAAATCTATGTAATGCTAGCACGAATGAATCAGTAGTTAGCGTATGAACCATCTCAATATGCACAGCTCTCATTTTCAAACAGGTGAATAAACAGCCATATCTTTTACATAGGGTTCTGCCTCTCTTCACTACAAAAGGTCCGAACAAATCCACCCCAACGTACTCAAATGGATAATTCCCTTCAGAAGCTTGCCACGCTGGGAGTGGTGCCATCATCTGCTGTACTGGACGAGCATTTCGGAGTTTACATTCCATGCACTTATCAATTATTTTACGGACAGCAGTACCTCCCTTCACTATCCAGAACTTACATCGAATACTTGATAGTACTTGCGAAGTACCCAAATGACCTTCAAGAACATGGTAGTGTCTTATAATGAGATCAGTGACTGGATGGTAGCAAGGTAATAAAGCCGGATGACGGGTCTCATATGACGATTCTAACATTTGTAGACGTCCACCAACTCTAGCGATCCCTTCGGAAACTATCGGAGATAATCTATCTAACCGCACCTTGAAATCT